TCTTTCATTTATTTTACTTCTTTGAAAACGAGGAGGTGCGGGTCCCCGAGCGCCCGGTGCGGCGGCCGCAGCGCTGGCCAGGCCTGCGGGCCTTAGCGCGCCACCGGGCAGCACCCGCACGGCCGCAAACCCCTCGCCTCGGAACGGCAACATGAGGAACAGAAGCCCAGTACACAGCCCAACTTTTTTTTTTTTTTTTCCCCCTAAATAAACGCAGGTATTGACAAAAGAGCGAGAACCCACTCTGCTTAAAACCAGTTCGCTTTGACAGCCTTTTTCCTCTCCCGGAGACAGCATTTACTGCTCATATTAGACAAAGTCCCGTTCAGTGCTGCTGTTGATGTGAACTTTTATTTTCTCTTCCGCCTACAAAGGAAGGTTTTCTCCTTGGAGATGTGAAAGGTGAAGCCAAGAACAGCATTACTGACTCACAGATGGATGATGTTGAAGTCGTTTATACAATCGGTGAGTGTCCACGTTTTTACTACCCCACTTGGCCTCAGGCACTCCGTGACTGCTTCCAGTTACAGAGGGCAGTCATCCTCGGACAGCCATCCCCGGACAGCAAGGCCAAAAGCTGCTAGTTTGTGTGATGTACATCACTAAATTGACATCTTAGTGATGCAAAAACACACATGGAAGGGAGATTTTCCAGTAATTGCTATGAAAATAAAGTTTTACTGTAGAAAATACAGTATTTTACTATAATACTAGCTCTTATTTCCATGAGTAGTTCCTCTTTGTCAGATATCTTGTCACATTAAAGACTTTTGCATTGGCCATGACACAAACACTCCTGGACTGTAGTTGCCCTGGAAAAACTTTGGCCTGTTTCAGTGATGCAAACTGTAATGCATTAGCATCTACTACCTGATCTGGAGCTTATTAAAATACTGTGTGTGAAGGCTGAAAACTACTTAACGTATTTCATTGAGCAGATGCCAGATGTATTTTTCTTTATAGTCTTCATGGGATTGGAGTAGATGTGCATTTTATACTAGCCCTTAACAAAAACACATGTATATATGCATATGCACACACATTTAACTCCAAGTGTAGTTGTACAAAAACAAAGTGAACAAGGTAATGCACAATGTGCCTTCTTTCCAGTCTTCCTGAAAATACCATAGGAAGAAATTGCATCCCATTTTCTAGTTTTAGTCTAGGATACAATTAAGGCGTAACGCTTCCCTCCAGACTCACAGCTGAACCAAAAACGTGGGGATTTTTTTGTGGTGGCACTGATGAAGTCACCCAGAGCCTCATCATCACTTTCTCACAGGCAGAGTTAGTTGCTCCAGAGCTTGGGGGTTCATTTTAGTTAACTTGGGAAAATTAAAGTAGTGGAAAGTTTAGGAAAATGAAAAGATTTAGAATGCTGTTAGATCACTCACTGTTTTTCTTCTGGTAGTGTCCCGGTTCTTACTGTCTATCCTGTGGGGTTCTGTTCTCCAGCCTCATCTGTCTTACAGCATCCCTGCCTTGCTGCAGAGTAACTCAAAGATATGAAATCTTTTCATATTGCTTACTACTGTACTGAAGGGAGGAAAATATTTTTTTCACTTAACAGAAAAATGATAAAAAGTACAGTTTATATAAATGGTTCCCTTTACATTTCAAAAATAAATTGGAATATTTTTTAGAAGTATTTCTTAGCTTTATTTAATTAGATGTTATGCATTTTATTTTAAGAAATTAAATAGAAATGTTTCTTGGGTCTTCTACCAGTTTAATTCTGATCATAGTGTACAGAATATACATCTTGAACTGATGAACCCAGAGTAATCTTACCTCTCTTTCCAGATATACAGAAGCATATTCCATGCTACCAGCTGTTCAGGTAAGAATCTCAAGTAAACAGATATTAAAAAAGTTAAAATTAATCCTAAACTTGAACTCCTCAAGATTAAATTTACATTACTGAGAAAGCCACCCAGCTGTAACTACAGTGGCCATATCAACCCCTTGCAATTGCAGACGCTCGATGCTTTATGTTGTGGCTGGTTTGGTTCTCTCCTGCTCTGGTGCTTGTCTGTGCATACAGAGATAAGGCATACTGCACCTTCTGGTGAGCTATGATACCATATAAACTACAGCATACTGAAAAAAACCCCATTGCTTTTCCAAAAGCATTCTTCCTAAACCCTCACCCTCAAAAAAAGAAAAAACACATAGCTAGTATTCAGAGTTTCATCACAGAAGGGAACACAGTTGTACAGGTTTGCACCCCTCTGAGGGGAGAAGCCCAATACAATCTCCTTCTCAAATCTTTCTGAAAATTTATTGTTATTAGAAGAGCATTCCGTAACAAACTGAACGTATCTTGTAGCT